ACTTCCCGCCAAGCGGAATATGTTAGGCTCAACTTGGTGGTGGTACCTTACGCTGGTTGGTTGAATCCAATCGGATGGGTGCATGTGTGCTCACTTCCCAATCGTGACTGGTTTGTCTGTCTGTGATGACCGAGTAGCTGGATGCTCTTAACTTTTTGTGATGCCTGTCTCAGGGTTTCGAGGCTGGGTTAGACTCACCACTCGGTCCCGTCTTGAATGGATGAAGTGCAAGAATTCATTGGCTTGGCCACGACTAATTGGTAGGCTTGAATATGCCAGCTCGATCAAGTAGGCCACGTGATTAGGCGTGGCACGTGCATGGGATCACGATTTACAAGCGTGCCCGGATTCACTCTACGTGTGTGGTGGAGATTTTTCCTTCGTTTAGGCGGGAAAACGAAGGGTCACTCTGCCCCATAACCAATGGGAGGTTGCCACGTGTCTCATTCTATCAGGCTTCATCCATAAGACCGAGAGGACGATGATACAATTTCATTTTACGTCCCCTTTGGTTTTCTCTACTTTTTCTTCTTCACTTCGAGTTTTCTTCAGTGGCGGTGGTTTTCCTTTGCAAATTTCGGCACTCTTCACGATAAACACTATATTTTTGCACCGTTTTTTGTTTGTTTTGTTCTTCTTTTTATTTGTGTTGAGTTCCTAGAGGATTTTGAATTGGATTTGGTTGGTTTTTGAAATATTTTGGAAAAAATTATGGAGAGGTTGTTTTATTTTGAAGAAGCTCAAATTTCTTGTTGAACGGAGAAGGTAAGAAAGAGTCTTTTGTCGGCAATTGAGGACTTTGGGTTTGGGGAGAGTGGAAGATGAGTCCGGCTTATATGGGTTTCCATTCTATTTGTCTCGGTCTACCTGACCGAGTCGCGTGCGGTGTTCGGCTGGGGGGTTTGAAATTTGGTAGTCTTTTTAGGTCGAGTAGTCTTCCCAACTGAGTGGTTGGAGGAGGTAGGTGTGTTCTCAATCATCTAGACCGAGTCAAAGGTCAATAGGAGTTGTAAAATTTGGTATTAGAGGATTGGGCGGTCGGTGGCTTAGGGCGAGTGGGCATCAGTGGTGTTGGGTTTTGGAGGGGGAGTCGGTCAGTGGTTCAGGGCAAGTAGGGATCAGACGGTATTGGGTTTTGGAGAGGGAGTCAGTCGGTGGTTCAAGGCGAATGAGGCTTTAGAATGGAGTAGGTCCGAATTGGGAGAGATTGGTCGTTTAGGGCGAGTGGGTAGATTGCTCAATGTCTACGTCAGGATCGAGTCGTTCGAGTGGGGCTGAGGTAGAAGTTGGGGATCAGTAAACCCGACCATGGTGATGATGCTAGAAGGTGAGGGAGTTTCGGTTAGTATACCGACTTGGGTGAATGTGGCTACCCCTAGATGAGTGGCGCCACTCAGAGTGATGATGAGTCGGAGAGGCAGGGAAGGAGTGGGGAAGACTCCGATGGAGTTGGTGATTCTAGGAGTTCACCCTCCACTAGCAGCGGCTCCGAGGATGAGTCGAGTTGACTTGGTAGTGGGATACTGAGATGGGATTACCCACATTGAAGGACGATGATGTGTGGTGGATTTGGACGATGTATCATATTTTAGAATCCGTCGAAATCAGGGCGCCGCAAGTCATACGAGGGGCGACTGGAAGGTGAAAGGCGAGGTGAGTGCTTACAAGAAATGGTTCCACGATGGGCCGAGGCTTTCCATCCCTCGCCTTGTATGGGAGGTCCTGAACCATTTCATGATCGCCCCGTCCCAGATTATGCTAAACGGATGGAGATTACTGATGGCTCTAGAGGACCTTTGTGTGCGGAACCAGGTGATGTTTGGCTGCATGAGCTACTGTATTCGTATTTCCTGAAGGAAAATGACAAAGACAAAGGTTGATACCTGATCAGCCTTAGCCATGACCAGGCTCACCTCGTAACCGACCTCCGGTCGAGTGACAAGAACTGGAAGGATCAGTACTTTTTTATGAGGGGTGATGCGGTCTTTGGAGAGAGAGGCCATGGCGAGATTCTGTATACCTAGCGAGCGACTGGTGAGAAACTTTGTCTTTACTTTGGATTTTGATTACTAAAATCTTATTGTGTTTCTTCTTTGTAGATCTTGAATTCAATTGAGCTGGGCAGAGTGGGGACGGTTTGGATGTATAGACCCAGAAGATTATAGCCATTCCAAAAGTGCAGATGGGTTAGCGCATGGTGTTAGAGGAGGCTAACCTCAGGACGAGTCATCTTTAGGCCAAAGTAGGCGTTATCCAGCAAGGTATCCCCTTCCCTTCGCTGAAGCAAACCTGAAGTATGCTACTCATCCGTTACGGCAATATATTTTGTTCGATAAGTCAAGGTTGAACCCACTAACTGTTAACGAGTTTGCGATTGCAAAAAAGCTAATGAAGAAGCTAACCGTCACAAATGCGAACGAGTCTATCGCGAGACGTCATGAGAAGCGGAAGAGGGAATCCTCGGCTAGAGAGGAGAGGAGAGCGAAGGATGTGGTGGTGACTCCACCAAGTTGTCAACCCGCAGTCGAAGCTGGGTCATCCAAGACCGTGGTCTTGGATGAGGACACTGAGATGATCACTTTTAGCATCTCGGCTTTTGCGTCGACCTACTCGAACTTGGCTTGCATGAGCCAGTTGGCTGACTTATTCCTGTTCCTGGCGGACGAGAGTCGTTTGAACTAGATGGATGTGATCATGGCTACTGACTGGGGGGTTTCCCATGCTTTCCAGGTATGAGCTGGAGTTTTACCTTATTATGTTTATTGTGGTCGTATACTGATCAAGTTGTTTTGTTATGCAGGCATTCACCAGTAGCCTGCACTTGAGAAAGTCCATCTTGTCGCAGGAGAAGAGGATACAGGATGTATCCAAATCAAATGCTAGTCTGTGCCAGAGAGAGGCGACGGCCTAGAAAGCCAAGCGAGAGAGCCAACAGCGTTTGAGAGAGGTTGAGGCCGAGTTGGATCGACTAAAGAGAAAGCTGGCTGAGAAGAATGCGGAGGTCGAGTCTTTGAGGGAGCAGTGCCTCAGTATCGCTAACGACGCCATCATCAATGCGTAGGGAGAGTTGATGTTGGAGTACAAGGCCGGAAACACCTCCCATTGGAACCCGAATGAGGACATATAGCTTATGCGGGAGATGGAGGAGGAGGAAGTTGTTGGGCATGTGGAGGAGCGGGTCAATGAGCAGGTATTCGACCTCGCTAGCCAGTCGGGGCGCTTGATTATAGAGAATGTGGGCGACCAGGCTACAAGGGCAAGCGTTGGGGTTGGTGACAGGGTGGTCGAGTCGGAAATAGATGAGATGACTCGCACCGATGATAGTTAGGTTTATAGTTACTCATATATTTTTGGGGCCTGCGATGCCCTTCCCTGGCGTGTGTGCCTCGCTTTTTGTACTTGATACTTGGCTGCTTGAGGCTATTTTATATTATAATTTATCTGTTAGTGGCTTTGGTGTTTTTTCTTGTGTTTCTATTTTACTGCTTTCCTTGTGGATGGATGAGTTGATTGCTTGATTGTTTGTAAATGTATTAGGGGTTGAATCGACTACTTGTGCTATGATTTTGATGAGGCCAACTGGCTGAGTTGTTTGGACTGTCTAATGGGTTGGGTCGATGACTCGTCGATTGGAGGTGTAAGTTTTTCAATCGGTCTAGGCCGATTGAAGCTGTAAATCTATAATCAGTCTGGGCCGATTGAAGGTGTTAACTTATGAATCGATTTGGGCCGATCGAAGGTGTTAACTTATGAATCGATCTGGGCCGATCGAAGGTGTAAGCTTATGAATCGGTCTAGGCCGATCGAAGGTGTAAGCTTATGAATCGGTCTAGGCAGATCGAAGGTGTAAGCTTATAAATCGGTCTGGGCCAATTGAAGGTTAAACTTATAAATTGGTATGGGCCGATTGAAGGTGTATATTTGTGAATCGGTTTAGGCCGATTGAAGGTGAAAACTTATGAATTGGTTTGGGCAGATTGAAGGTGTAAACTGTTCTATTACTGAATAATACTTTATTAAATTCGGGCCATGAGGCCGACTGACGGTGTAGGAGGTGGATAGGCCCACTCATCCTTCTAAAAACAGAAAAAAGAAAACAAAAATGTCGATGGAGGAGTTTAAACTAAGTAACGTTTGAGATGGATTGCATTCCAACTATTGCTAATGTCTTTGCCTTCGAAGGTTTGGAGTCAGTAGGCGCCCTTCCCTACTTCCTTGGCGATCTTGTAGGGACCCTCCCAAATGAGGCCGATCTTGTCAGAGTTGATCTCCCTAGTGTTTTGAAATACCTTGCGGAGGACCTAGTCGCCTGTTTTGAAAGTTCTGATTCAGACGTTGCGGTTGTAGTGTTGGGCGGCCTGTTGCTGATAGACAACATTGCGAATGTTCACTCGCTCACGTAGTTCATCGACAGTGTCCAAGTTGTGGCAAAGGTTCTAGCTATTAGTTTCTTCGTCTGCGCATTGGAGTCTGGTGGAAGGGACTAATACTTCGGTTAGGATGACTGCTTCAAATCCGTATGTGAGGGAGAAAGGAGTTTCGCCTGTGGATGAGTGCATTGTAGTTCGGTAGGACCAAAGGACTCCGGGTAGTTCATCTACCCATGTGCCATTGGCTTTCTACATACGCTTCTTTAAAGTTTGCATGATAGTTTTATTCGATGATTCAGCCTGGCCGTTGGACTGGGGGTTGTGGGGGGTGGAGAAGTTAAGCTTGATCCTCCACATGTCGCATAAATCTTTGAAGCCTGAACTAATAAATTGGGATCCATTGTCGATGACGATTTCCTTCGGTATCCCAAACTTGTAGATGACGTGTTTCCAGATGAAAGCTTTTACCTCTCGGTCTCTGACTTGTGCGAGTGTTTCGGCTTCAATCCACTTAGTAAAGTAGTTGGTGACTGCCAATATGAAGACCCGCTGCCTGAGCGCAGCCGGGAGCTTTATGACTATATCCATTCCCCACTCCATCAACAGCCAAGGTGTGAGAGTGGAGTTGAGTCACTCGGGTGGGAGGTGTGAGACATGGGTGAACCTCTGACAACTATCACATTTCTTCGCATAAGTTGCTGAGTCAGTGCATATGGTTGGCCAATAGTAGCCAACAGTGATCACCTGGTGGGCAAGGTTGCGTCCTCCTGCATGGTTTCCACATTTGCCTTTATGGAGTTCAGCGAGAACCCGTTTAGCTTCTTCTGGGCTTATGGCCTTAAGGTAGGGACCAGAGAATGATTTCCTAAGGAGCTGACCCTTGTATATGGTGAACCTGACGACTTTTGCTCTCAGGCAGCGTGCTTCATTCTTGTCGATTGAGAGCTCATTGTGTTCCAAGTATTTTACTATCGGGGCTATCCAAGAGTCAGCCAGTTCGATGTCCATTACTTCTTCGGGCGACTTTTGGTCCTTCCTTCCAGTCAGTTGGCCATTGTAGGAATAACAGAAGGATGGATAACTGGGAAGAACATTGAAGGGCTGAGCCGAGGTTAGCAAGGGCATCTACATAGATGTTCTTCGTTCTTGGGACATAGGTGATGGAGAATTCTTCGAAGGCGGTATGCAATTCTTTGACCAGGTTCAAGAAGGCTGTCACCTTCGAGTCGCGGGCTTGGTAAGTGCCTTGTAGCTGGTTAACCACGAGTTGGGAGTCCAATTTCCTTACTCCAATTTCTTTAGCTAGGGAGAGTCCAGCGATGAGAGCCTCATATTCAGCTTCATTATTGGTGTACTTGAATCCATATCGTATGGCCCGCTAGATGATGTCTTCTTCTGGAGTAGTAAGTATGACACTGAGCCCACTTCCAATCACGTTGCTTGACCCATCCACTGAGAGAGTCCACTTTGAAAGCGATCTGCTATTCATGCACAGTAACTCTCTTTCTGCTTGGACAGTGGTGTTCGGGGTGAAATTAGCAATAAAGTCTGCCAGTGCCTGAGATTTTATAGCAGTGCGTGGTTAGAAGGATATGTCGAACTCACTAAGCTCTACTGTCCATTGTGTGAGTCGGCCTGATAACTCTAACTTATGTAGTATCTTCTTGACTGGGAAGGGGGTGAGTACGATTATGGAATGACATTGAAAGTATGGCCTGAGCTTCCTGGATGCATGGACGAGGGCGAGTGCCAGTTTCTCCAACTGACTATATCGTGTCTCTGCATCGAGGAGTGATTTGTGACGACCCAATCTAACCCTGGGCAGGGCTGGTACACCTGGGCTCACCCCAGGCCCACTTTCGTCACCTCTACTCAGTACTGTCCCCCCTTAAGAGATTTCTTCGCCTCCCCCACCACTGGATCGTCATGAGGGACTTGACGAGTATGTCGTCAATGTATACTTCCATGGTGTCCCCAAGGTGTTCAGTGAACATTCTGTTGACTAGTCACTGTTATGTAACCCCGACGTTCTTGAGACCAAACGACATCACCTTGTAGCAGTAAGTCCCCCTCCCTATAATGAAGGCTGTTTTCTCTTGGTCGTCCAGGTGCATCAAAAATCTGGTTATACCTTGAGAAGACATCCATGAAGCTTAGGAGTTCGTGGCCTACTATCACATCGACTATCATGTCGATATGTGGGAGCGGGAAGGAGTTCTTATGGCAGGCTTTATTTAAATCTGTGAAGTCTATGCAGACCCTCCACTTTCCGTTCTTTTTCTTCACGACCACAACGTTTGCTAGCCAATCGGGATAGTGGACTTCTCTTATCAGGCCATTATTTAGTAATTTGTCAGTCTCCTCATTGACGATCCAGTTGCAGTCTGGTGTAAATTTCCTATGCCTCTACTTCACTGGGGGGTGATCCGAATCTACTTCGAGGTGGCAGACGATTGCCTCTAGGCTGACTCCTGTCATGTCTGCGTGGGAGCAGGTGAAACAGTCCTAGTTTTGTTTAAGGAATTTCATGAGTCTCTCTCTTATTTCGGGCCTGAGGCGTGAGCCTATCTGGGTCTTCCTTTCGGGGTCATCTGGGTGTATCATCCAACTCTTCCATAGATGGTTGATCTGGCTCGGTCGGGAGGGTTGGATGAGATTATAATTGCTATGAAATGTGACCTTTGCTTTTGAAGGCCTTTTTGTAGCAATCTCTGGATGCCTTAGGATCGCCCTTGATCTTCCTTACTCCCTATTTCTTTGGAAAGCTTATAGTTTGGTGGAAGGTGGATGGAACAACTCGCATGTCATGGATCCAAGGTCGGCCCAAGGTGACGTTCTATGGTGAAGGATGATGTGTGTTTACTATAACATGCAAAAATTAGCAAGTGCACTAGTCGCACAAAGTAATAAAGTGATGAGTGAGTATCGTTCCCACAAGGATTGGTTGCTAAGCACTAAGTTTTCTACTGTTTTCAAGTTGGAGCAATCGAATTTGTTTGGATTAATGGGAGAAAATTAAACTTAAAACTAAAATAGAAAATTCTAAATATTCAAAACTAAATTATGAAAGCAAGATTAAAAACAAGGTAATATCACTTTAAAACAACTGGTAGGGTTTTGACTTCATTCGGATTCTATGGATTAAACCTACAGATTATGCTATTTCCATATTCACATGCATTGATTGTAAATCGAATTCTCTAAATTGTAAACATACCTTCTTAGGCTATGTTTTCCTACTTTTCCCTATTAAACTTCCGCACCAAACAATTTGAAGATTAATAGTTCTAAGCTCATTAAACACCTAGAATCCTAGATTGATTTCATTGATTCTTAAATCTATCTCTAGCATTTAATACTACAATGGTGATTACCTAAGAAGCTTAACATGACTCATTTCTCAATCTCATCATGTTCATCAATTAAAAGCAATAAATCCAGAATAACCACACAATCCTTGCAATAGCATATGAAAATAATAAAAATCAATTGCTCAATCCATGAGAATCCGAACTACACCAAAACCCTAACCCAAAATGGGTTAGTTCATAGCTAAATCAATACAATAAGCAAGAAAAACAATAAACACAAAGTTTAACATGATAAAATGAGAGAAAAGACAAGAGATCCTCCCTAGTTGAAGAATCCACCAGATTCAATCCCAAATCTTCTCACTTTTCAACACAAATTCGTCAAATCTAAACTAAGAAGATGAAAAAGCTGCTCTAAACTAAGGAAAACATGACTTTTCTCAAAATGGCAAAGATTTGCTTTTATACCTCGCCTAAAAACCTAAGACTATGCCTAAAAATGAAACTGTGCGTTTTACGAAACTGAAAATTGCAGACTTCGCCGTGGCGACGAAATAAAAGTAACTCTTGAGCATGACTCATTTCGCCATGGCGAAGAAAAAACTTCGGCGCGACGAATCTTGATGAATAATTCTGAAATTACAGAATTGCCCTGCGCTTCTTCTTTGTTTGAATCTTCAATCTTCGATGCTCTCCCATGGAAACAAGCTTCATAGTGTTTTACTCTACTTCAGAACTCTCCCAACTTCTGAGATCCACTTACTTCTAAGTCTAGAAACTCCAATTCGCTCATTATTTGCTCAAAATGTCCATTTTAGCCTGAAACACAAAATGTAAAGAATTAAGTAGCAATTCAGGCATAAATGAACTAAGAAGTATCTAAAATCCAACCTAAAAGCCTAATAAAAACAGTATAATTCTCGGATTATCAAATACCCCCAAACTAAAGACAAGCTCGTCCTCAAGCATCAGGTACAAAACTCAAAGAAAGAAAACAATAAAAACTAAAACACGACACAATAAAACTGGAAATGAACAACAAGAATTAGACTCAACTCAATATACGAATTGCCTAGAATTTATACAAGTCTCAAATATTGTTGAAAAATTATTACTAGAAAAATGTTCAACATTCCAAGAAGTTATAAGTTGCATCGACTATCTTTCTCTATTGGTCCCCCGAGTAGGTGATCCCCACTTCAATCCACCTTCTGACTTCCTAGATTATTTTATGCAGAAATGTAAAGTTTATCAAATGGCGGCAGACTCCATAAGCCTAAATATCGAACTACTCTCCACTAATGAGGATTAGACATTACTAAGAATCAAAAGATCTTTGTAAGCTTATAACGTTAGGCTCAGGTAGTGGGCTCCAAAGGAAATGAAAGGGTAAACCAATAAGAGAACTTGGTTTCCTCAAAGCAAACTCTAGGACTTAATCCAACTCCCACTTCTTTTCTCAACCATCATTCAAAATGTCAATCATTTAACAACCTTCAACCATGAACAATTCTTACTGTTGCTATTGTAATGCAATTCTAAAACTAATTTTTGTTTTTTTTTTTTGTTTTGTTTTGTTTTTTTGTTTTTGTAATCACAATTGAGGTTAGTTACCTCTCTTATTCTTCTTGCCCATCTCACAACCCCCAAACTATTCTTTTAGTTCATTCACACAACTCTTCAAGTTCCTTGTGTTTGCATTAGGTCCAAAATTCTCCTAAATGGTGTGATGTGATTATGTGTTTAGGGTAATTGGATTGGACAATTTTTGGTTTGCAAGAAAATAAAAAGCAAATATAATCTCATAAGATTCAATTTGGTGACTAGGAAAAATATTTCATTCGTGGGTTGGCTGGAAAGACTCAAACGTTCCGAAAAATGCCTAAATCATTTCCTCAACAATGTTTATTCCTACAATTTCGCCTCAAGCATTTTTCTACTAGGTTCTAGAATCCACCAACATTATCAAACTTTACCTAACCACATTAAATGAATCTAAGCATGCCGAAATAAATGAAAATTGTGGTTGAACCACTCAACAAACCTCAATCAAAATTCAGTCAATAAACATAAACTTGAAGCAATGCTTAACATTTTTCAACAATAAAATCCCAACAACCCTAATCTCATCATTGATTTATACAAATCATCATTGGCATACACAACAAAAACATAGAAATAAAATAAATAAAAAGTCCAAAAATTCTCAAATTTTTCCTACCCCCAAACTAAAGATGACATTGTCCCCAATGTCACATTATGCACAAATTAGGAATAGAAAAACAAAATCTATAAAAGTACATGATAGTTCCCTGATTAATCCGTGAAGTTGAAGTTTCGCTCAACAGTGTGCACCCTCGGTCCTTGACTTTTTTTCATCACCAAAATCTGTAAAAACAATTGAGAACTATGGTGTCCACTGTGTTAGAAAAATTCATGAACTAATATGGAAATATTACAACCCTAATCTTGTCTTTTCAACTAAAAAGTTCAACAAAAATATAAAATAAACGAAAAACAATCTAAAAACAAACCACAAATAAATAAAAAATCAGTTCAAAGTTCCACAATAGCCAACAATAAACCAAAATAAAAACAAACAAAACAAAATACAAAACAGGTGCTTCGGCTCATTCGTCAGCCTTCTCCTCTCCTTCGGCGTCGTCCTCTTCTGACTCGAAGCCCATCCACTCATCTGAATCCCAGTCTTCCCATTGGAATGCTGAAGTATCAATATTCAGCTTCTGGCAGCAGCTCTGTTGCAAATTATAGATCATTCGGGTCTGTTCTGCGATCCATGTTTGATAGCGTTCC